AAATTTATTAGTTGAAAAACTATACAATGACGAAATCATAAATAAAAGAGAAAAAGAATATTTGACAACGAACACAGCAAACCCACCTAGACTATATGGATTACCTAAAATCCAGATGAATTTTTAGTCAATGGAATCATCCAAAAACCACAATTAGCATCAAGAGAACTAAAATATTTGGAACCACTGAATTGCGTTTCACAATTGTCTACATTTGGAAATGGATAATGAGGTCTCATGACTGCTTTGTTTAAATTTCTTGGGTCCAAACATACACGTAAATTCCCATTTGGTTTTTTTACAAGCAAAATAGAACTGATCCATTCAATTGGCTCTTTAACTTTAGTAATAATATTTAAACTTTCCATTCTTATTAATTCTTTTTTTAAATCATCATATAAAAAAAAAGGAATCTTTCTTGGGAGATCAATGTCTGGAGTGATTTCTGGCCTAATAGTTCACATTTATTCTTTAATTCTCCTAAACCACAAAAAATTTCTTTATAATTTTCAAAAATTTTATCAACAAATAAGGCATTTATTTACTTAACAATATTCAAATTTATAGCTGTACTTAACCGCAATATATTTATACATTTCATATATACAATAAAACACTACCGACAGTAGGCAACTTTTAGCCACTGAAAGTTAATATGTTTGTATTACTAATATGTACATTATTACAAAAATCAATATTTAAATAATTTGCAGTGTGCATTGATAATATATTGGCCTGTGCTCCAGTGTCAATTTGAAAGATAACTTTTTTGTCATTAATTATACTCTTAATATTCCACTCACAAATTTTATTTTGTACAGTTTCTATTTTTTCTATACTGCCGTTTTGTATGGACTTGTTTTTATTGTTCGTTGTATGTAAAATTCCAATGAACAAATCTTTTACGTCGTCTTCTGTGTCTTCTTCTGCATTGATTTGCTTTACATAATTGCTTGAAGACAATTGTTGTTGTTCTATATTGCTGCCACACATTTTCGAGAAATAGTTTGGTTTCTGGCAGGTATAACAAATCACACCATCTGCTGGACAACGGTTCCTATGCTGCTGACCGCAACGACTACAGTAATTTGTGAAATTTGTAGCTTTGCAGCTATGTTGATTACCACGTTTTGAATATGAGAATGACTCTGATCGAAGGTATTTATAATTCGGCTTATCTGCGGTATTTTTTCTATGTTGATACCGTAAAGCTCCAACGAAATTAGTGGTGTTGTTATTATCCCCGTCAAATTGACTTAAATTTTCTTTTGCCATTGTTATTGCTTTTGCAATATCCATAGCCTTGTTTAAAGAAATATTACCTTCGCTCAACAATCTTTGTTTAATATGGATATATTTAGATGATAAACCACATACAAAAATATCTCTGATTAATTCCTCCTGTAGAAATCCAAATTCACAACTTGTGCTTTAACTTTTTAATGACGCCATATATTCATCTAATGATTCTTCATTTTCTTGCTTGCGCATAAAAAATTTGTGACGTTCTATTGCTTTATTTACTTTTGGAATAAAATAGGCATCATATTTTTCAATCAGATCTTTGTAAGCAATAGAGGCCAAATTCACATAGCGCAAATAATGAACAGCATGATGCTATTGATTTAGTTATTTGTGAAGTTCAGTATCACGACACAGGATCAATGTGTTTTGTTTGACAGCCTATGCAAGTTGTGGGAAAACATGCATACAAACGGTTATAATTCGTAAATTGAATTCGATGTATTAACTTAACTTAACTTCGATGTATTTCATGTGCATTTACTGGAGCTGCTTCCACATTATTGATTGGGGGAAAGACACTCCATTATGTTTTTAAACTGCCCATAAATCTGATGGAAAAGACAGTACCAAATATAAAAAAAAATAGTAGTTATGCCAGATTTATTAGTTCGGCGGTATTATTTATTATTATTTTTTTTTTGTTTTAAATACTTATACATTTATTTATTGTATCTCCCCTTACAATGAGACTAACAATAAGTTTTAAAATCTTATCACTAATAATATAATATTACAAATTTTTATTTTAACTATAAATTGTATAAAATAAAATAAGTAAATCTTATATCACGAAACTCACTTAGAACAATGGGTTAAATTTCTTTGGAGTGAATGTAAGTTGGTTTATTAGGAAAACAGTTCAACTTTATCAGATTACTTAAAAGCAAGGTGCGGTTATTACTTAAAGCTGTTGAATATTAATTAATGTTTTTTAAATATATTAACTTTTATTTCGAAAGTTTTTTATTGTGTATCTCTACACGTGTTTCGGCAAATTCGCTTTTGCCTTCATCAGGAGAATTCATAATATTAGGAATAAAAAAACAAATATAACCGCATTTAAACAATTTCGAAGTAACAACTCAAAAATTAAAAAAAAAATAAAAAATTAATTAATGGCTGGACGATCAGCTTTTTTTAGGCGGGAAGTAATGGATAGAAGTGTGAGATTTCTTGATAAGGGATTAACATGTTCTGTCAGGTTTTTATTGTATTTTTTTCTTATATTGTCAAATTCAGCTTTAACTAGGAGAATTTGGAGATCTCGGTGAATACTTTCATTCCTTATATACCATGGGGCACCAGTGATTGTGCTTAGTATTTCTGATTGAGCTCTTTGGATAATTTCAATATTTGAAGCACTAGCATTGCCAAATAGCTGGATACCATGAGTCCATATTGGTTCTATGATGCTGTTATACTTGAGTTCGTCTGTCTAGGTGAATACCTAAGTACGTTATGTTATCTGCTTGTGGTATCGGAATGTTATTTAGTAAAATTGTTGGAGATCTACTCCGATTTAAGGTAAAAATGACGTGTCTACATTTTAGTTCATTGGTTTTAACTCGCCAACTCGAGAACCATTTCTCCACCCGAAATAAGTGAGATTAAACTTGGTTTGAAGCTAACACAACTTTTTTGTTTCGACATAAAATTGCCGAATCATTACCAATCGTTGTGGTGGCAACAGAGCTACTTATTGGGATATCAGATGAGTAAGATACATACCAGATAGGGCCAAGAACATTTCCTTGTGGAACGCCAGCTTCTATTGGGAAATTATTAGAAGTATATGATTTACATTTCACTTTAAAGCTTCTATTATATAAGTACGATTCTAAAACTGAGTGGACATTTGCAGGTAAATAACAGCGTATTTTATATAGGAGCCCATTTTGCCATACTTTATCAAATGCTTGTTTAACATTGTTTAACAGAAATACCGCGGAACAATATTTTCTGAGCCCAAATGCGTGTTCTATTTCGTTCGTTATACGATTTACTTGCTCAATAGTTCCATGATTTTTCCTAAAACCAAACTGGTGGAAGGATATTGGGTTTTGACCGTCAAGGAATGGTTTCAGCTTTGAAAGCAGTGCTCTTTCAAATAGTTTAGAAAGGCATGCCAGTAAGCTTATTGGCCTGTATGAAGAGACAAGCGTGGGATCTTTACCTGATTTATGAATCATAATAATCATGGATGTTTTCCACTCCGTTGGGTAAAAACCAAATTTAATAATAGCATTAAAAAGTCTTGTGATAAAATTTATAACCAAAAGGTGTAAGTTTTTTATCATGATAGGTGAGATATTATCATATACCGGTGCCTTTTTGCAATCTAACTTGTTTGTGATTATTTGAACAAGATCATTGGCCGTGGTATTAATGTCAATAGATGGTGCATGTAGATCCTGAGTGGGAGAGTCATAATGTCCTGTTGCAGGATTTGGTTGGAACACCTCTTTTAGGTAATCAGCAACAACGTTAGATTTTTCTTCATCACTTCGCGCTCAGTTTCCGAGAGAGATTATTGGAGAATCGCATTCTCTGGGGGGAATTTATACCTTTGCTAGCATTCCACAAGGATGAATGATTTTTGCCATTTGGGCATAGGTTTTGAATATAATTATATTGCCTGATTTTGGTTTCCTTACTTAATGCAGATCTAAGTCTCGTTTGGGCTTCCTTAAATATGTTTTTCGTTAAAGAGGCCCTAGATTTTTGCCAATCACGCCTTAATCTACGTTTTTGTAGAACTAAATTCTCTATGTCACTATTTGTAAGTACTTTATTGAATCTGTAACTTTCATTGTCTTTAGGGGTGGAGTTTTCTGCTGCTGAAATCAGAATTGAGTTTAAAACCGAGGTTGCGTCCTCAATATGAGACTTACTCTTTATTTTGTAATTTGTGTGTATGTGTGAATTAATGTACTTTTTATATTTGAGCCAGTTTGTTCTGGGACTTGTAAGGCTAGCAAAATGTAGACTGGATGTCTATTATGGAGATGTTCAAGGACTTGCTGGTGGTAAATTTTGGGAATAACAATTCTCTCACCAAAGAAAATACTCTGTTGTTGGATCGTAAGATGATGTCGATGCTGGAAAAATGCCGCTACTTCATTATCTGTGATTTGTTTTCTCTTTTGAGGCCAGCAGTTATTTTGAATGTAGAACGTGACCTTATTGAG